TATCCTGCGACGGGATTAGGGCATCGTACATTATTCATCTTTGTCTATATCACTGTCTTCATTCGCCTATGTCAATCGGCGTTGTTTGTCTGAATCTCTCTTCTGGATCATGCGTCTGCCTTGTTTGAATCGCTTGTTTGCTCTGCCTGCATCACCTTCATCCTGCAACGGGATTAGGACATCGTGTATCGTTCGACTTTGTCTGCATCGCTGTCTTTTTCTGCTTTATTTGTGTCGATCGGCGCTGTCTTTATTTGCTTTGGTCGATGTCGACTACTTCATTCAGATTCGTTAGCTTTGTTGGCTTCATTGTTCGTGGAGTCTTTCGTCTCGTACGAATCATCGTTAGTCTCTGGTGTTTCTTTGCTTTGTTCCTTTGAGTACTGATTCAAGCTTCTTCAATATTTTGGTGATAACATGGTTACGAAACAAAAATGCATTGTGACAAGTTTGGTTTGATCAGTTGCCAAAATTATGGATGAGAAGTTAAATGACATCTATTACATTTTTTTTGGAATAAAATTGAGAGACTACTAAAGAATTTTGTTCCAGGAGAGTCACCTCATTGCTTTTTTTTGGAATAAAATTGAGAGACTAAAGAATTTTGTTCCAGGAGAGTCACCTCATTGACATTCCTCTAGCTGAGACTGATTTACATTATTCTTAGTGAACGAGAGTTGATGCCCAACCGTTGATACAACTATGAAACTCTCTCAAAGTTGATCAATCTGATCATATTACTCATTATGAATTATTAAAGATGAGATTGAAGAGTTGGCATTTGTGTTTTTTGGGAGAGAATTTTTTCTTGAATCTTTGATGTATATAAGGGGTTCTATTAAGTTGAACAAAATGATCAATTACTTAACACATATTATATGCACTTTAAAAGTTTTATTATGAATTCAATGCATTATCGCCTCAGTACTGATGTTTGGATTCAACAGGCTCAAAAGAACAAATGGCTATTATGAGTTTTCTAGCACGCTTAACTTCCAGTATGAAGGCATTAACTTACAAATTCTATCTGACCCTTGAATTACTACTCTAAAGGAAGCTTATACTAGAGTGTTGCGTACTATTTCGAGTTCTCAAGCTTCATCCTTATTCCAAGCTAGTGCTCTTTCTAGCCAAAAAAATGCATGCATTAGTAAACTTCAGTCTTAGGGGAATTATGGAAGTAGAACTCCGAATTCTAGAAATTAATGTTCGATGGTAGCTTGCTACTACTGCCATGAACTTGATCGAGCCCTCTCAAAGTCAGATTCTCTCAATTGGAGATGAATATGCTAAATTCATCCAATTTTAGGGAACATTAAATAAATCTCTCTTTGTCACTGCTCTTGCTGAGTCAGGTAATAATGCTACTTATCTTCTTTCCTCTTCCACACAACGAGTCATTGATTCTGGTATCACAAATTATGTGACAAGTAAACCAAAACTCTTTTCCCCCTTTCATAAATATTTTTCGACCTTCTTCTTAGCCGATGAATTTACCTCTAATATTCATGGTTTTGGCACTATTAATTACACCTACACTATCTTTAGCGTCTGTCTTTAGTTTACCTTAATCCTCTTTTATTCTTATCTTTGTTAGCAAGATTACACATGCTTTTAGTTGCTATATCTTATTCTTCTCCGACCATTGTCTTTTTCATGATCTTATGAGAGAGAAGAATATTGATAAAGTACGGGAATCAGGAGGCCAATACATTTTGGGTAACAAACTATCTTGACCCATAGCGCCTTCAACACCTTATTTCTAATTGAGATAGCAAACTCCACTTCCAAGGCAATGGAAATTGAGATAACAAACTGCTATTTCGATTAATGATTTATCTTATCGATGCCTAAATCATCACAAGATTCTAATGAGTTGTGAATGTATCACATTATTAGTTCAACTCCACTTCCACCTTAATCCCTTATCGATGCCTAAATCATCACAAGATCCCATTATTAGTTCAACTCCACTTCCACCTTAATCCCTCAGCCTAGAACTCCTATCAATGTATACTCGAGAAGACCTCACCCTCCTGATCCTAGTCAATCCCCAATATAGCAATTAAGATGCTTTCATTAAGAACTAGCAGCATATGCATGTTAGTTCCATTGATCGAAATATTATCAGATAGTCGAGGAGATACGTCTCCCGATCATACATGGATCAGTTGGATAATCTATCAATCATAATGTTACGCAATAAAAATTGATTGAGTCGGATAAAATATCAAAGAGTTTGATCCTAGTCAGGCCCCTATAAACTCATTCTTAGTGGATCCTTCTCCTAGTGATATTGATTTACATATTGCTCTTTGAAGAGGTATACGTCAATGCATCTATCCCATTTCCTCTTGTGTTAACTATGAGTAGTTATCTTCTACGTTTTGCATGTTTATTGCTTCCATTGACTTTGTTGAGATCCTGAGATCTATTCAACTCGCTCTATCCCATTTTGGGTGGCAGACAATGATGTTTGATGAAGTGAAAACTGAAAATGAAACTTGGGCGCTAGTTGAATTACCCTATAGCAAGAAGGCTATTAGCTGTGAATAGGTCTTCGTAGTTAAGTTTCATTCTGATAGTTTTGTAGCTCGTCTTAAAGCTTGGTTATGCTAAGAGTATTGCTTAAATTTATGGGATTGACTACTTTGACATGTTCTTCTCAGTAGCTAAGTTGACTTCGGTTTGCCTCTTCCTATCCTTGACTGCAATGAATAATTGGCCCTGCACCAACTTGATGTGAAGAATGCCTTTTTGGGTGGTGATATTTTAGAAGATGTATACATTGAGCAATCTCTTAGGTTTGTTGCTCAGGGGGAGCATGGAAAAGTATGTTGTCTTCGAAAGTCACTATATGGATTGAAGCAAAGCCCTTATGCATGTTATGGAAGATTCAATCAATCACTAGAAGAGTTTGTGATGCAGAAGAGAAAAAATGATCATTCTACAAGTATTCAACTTCAGGGGTCATTCTGTTGGTGGTATATGCTGATGACATTATTATTACTGGAAGCGATGTGAAGGTAATCTTAACACATAAATCATTTCTTCAAAGTTCGTTCAACACTAAAGATTTGAATCCTTGAAGTAACTCTTGGGGATTGAGGTATCAAAGAGCGAGAAGAACATTTTATGTCAAAAATGAAACTATGTTCTGAATTTGTTAGCAGAATCAAAAAAATTAGGAGCCAAACCATGCAATACTCCTATGCTTTCTATTCAATAATTTATCAAGAATGGAGAGCCTTTTAAAGTTCCTGAATGATATAGAAATTTAGTGGGAAAATTAAACTACATTATAATGACTCTTCCTGACATTGCGTATTTAATTAGCACTATAAGTGAGTTAATGTCTTCCCCCATAGGTCATCATTGATCAGCTCTGGAATATGTACTATGTTACCTCAAAGGAGCTCCTGAAAAAGAGATTTTATATCAGAGTCGTGGGCATAAAAATATTGAATGTTTCTTTGATATATATTAGACAAGTTTCAAGATTGATCGAAGATCTATTATTGGATATTATAGTTTTGTGGTGACAATTTGGTCTCATGGAAGAGTAAGAAATAGAATGTAGTGTCACAATCCAATGCAAAATCTGAGCATCCAGCAATGGCACAAGCTTCGAGCTAATTGATTTGGGTCCCAATTCTTGACTGAAATGGGTTTGAAGATGACACTTCCAATGAAGTTGTTGTGTGATAACCAAGATGCAATTAATATTGTTTCAAACCATGCATCCCATGAACGAACTAAACACATTGAGATAAATTGTTATTTTGTTCGTGAAAAGATTCAACAAAATTTGATTTCTACAGCTCTTATAAAAACCGAGGAACAATTAGGGGGCATTTTCACAAAGGATTTTAATGGAGCTAGAGTCACCTATATTTGTAATAAATTGGGTATTATAAATATCTATGCTCCAGTTTGATTGGGGGGGGGGGGGGGGGGGGGTGGTACTCAATGTTGTACTCATTTGAATGTCGCTTCATGCGTTCATGAATGAGTATAACATTTAATTTTTTTTTTAAATTCGTATGCCTAGGATAATTTAGCTTTTATGAAGTGTATTTTAAATTCATTAAGTGTATTTTCTGTAAGGTAGTCCATGAACGTGGTACGTCCCATATTGTTTATCCCTACATAAATTGATGATTTATGACAATGCTGTTGTCAAAATTTCATGTGCATGTTAATGAAGAACAACAATAATCTTTAGCACAAATTCTTGAAACAAAAATCTAGAAAGACTTGGGCATATAGTATAAAAATGATCTTTATACGGAGGTAGATCTAAAAAGACTTGGGCATATAGTATAAAAATGATCTTTAATCTATTAGAATTAAATCTATTAGAATTAAATTATCACACTCAATAGGACACAATGGAGAAAAAGGATAATTAGAGGAAATTTAATTACATGATCTTTTCTATATTAGATATATTCCTAATTTATAGAGATGGGAGTATATATAAATATGTAACATATGCTTTCAATTGAAGGATAGCAAGAAATGCAGTTTTTCGTTAGACATTCCAAGCAAAGCCTAGATAGCCTGCTTGTGATCACATCCATGACTTTAGTAGTTTTTTTTTTTTTTTTGCATTCTAATAATAGTTGTTTTAGATTTAAGTTATGTTAAGAAAGGCGGAGGTAGACCTAAAAAGACTTGGGCATATAGTATAAAAATGATCTTTATCTATTAGAATTAAATTATCACACTCAATAGGACACAATGGAGAAAAAGGATGCATGTAGCCGACCCCACTTAGTGGGATAAAGACTTGTTGCTGTTGTTGTACCTATTATTGGAACAAGAAATAATACTGTTTACCATGTTTTCAATCTCCAAATTGCAATTAATAAGCATTTGCTTAGCTTCCTTATTTTTTTCTTTCTTCCTGCTACTATCTCTTAGTTATTTACTTCTTTGTACATCCCTCAGGTTCTGCAGGTTATTGACCTTCAAGAAATTTGATGCTGAATTTTCAGGTGTTAAGTGGTTTGCCAAAATTTGTCAAGATTGTAGAAGTTGGACCAAGGGATGGTTTGCAAAATGAGAAGAATATTGTACCCACATCTGTCAAAGTTGAGTTGATACATAAGCTGATTGCTTCTGGGTTGATGGTTGTTGAGGCCACTAGTTTTGTCTCTCCTAAATGGGTTCCACAGGTAGCTATCTTCTGTTTTTTTTTTCTTTTTTTTTTCTTTTTTTTTTTTGGGACTGTTGGCATCTTAATGACGTTAAAATGGAGCAATTTCTTGAATTTGACATATGAATCAATTAAAATGTTATAAATATTAAATGCTTTCTAAGCGATAAAATCCATTGTCAATTACTTTGATTGGCACTCATCACTTGTTGTGAACTTGATATTTGTGTGATAAAATTGGAAAAATTGGAATAAGAATGTGTAACCTGTTCATTTATTGTGATGAAAGCCAGTTATGAAATCTAACTATTACAAAATAAACCAAAGAACGCTGAACTTCAATGCTTATAAGGACCTCTAAATTAGTGGAGCTAGGTTGTCATTGATGGAACTCTGTATTTATCCTCGTTGGAACATTCACATCAAGCAATTATCTGAGTATACATGTTTTCATTAAGTTGTTTATCTTAATTTAGTTTGCAATTTTTATAGTTTGGAACTTCGTTATGATGGCCTTGAGAAAGGGACTATATTTGTTATTTCTTAGTTTGTGTTTGGCTTATATGGTTAGATATGAGATCAGGGTGATTTGATCCATGAATATGTTGAAGTTTAAAACCTATGGTATTCTGCTTTATGATGTCTATACTCTGCAGGTAAGACTGCTGGTAGTTATTTCAATTCCTACTATGGCGGATTTTTCATTGTTAAGTATGTTTCGATGCCTTATAAGTTTGCTGTTCCTTTTTTGAGAAATTTGTACAAGAGGCGATGGCTATTTGTTATCAGCAGTATTGATGTCAGTTAAGATATAACTGCTTCCACTACTATTTTGGGGAATTTCAGTTTCACAAGTTCACCCGTGCATGTAAATTTTTTTCATTGAAGGTTACTTTTTTATTGCTGTTTAATTTCTTATTCCTTGGGTAAGATTTAAATTTGAATTTAATGGTTATCCGCTATTGTATTAGGTTAATCTTATGACAGCCTTTTCTACTAACTTAGGGATGAGGAAGCTATAAATAGATATTCTAAGACGTGTAATATGGATAGAGAAATTTGTCAAAATAATCCCCCTACTCTTTGAAGGCAAAAATTTTTCAGTGCGGACTCCTGACGTAGCTCTACGTGCGGCGCAGGGTATTCCTGAGTTATTTTCAGGTTATTTCTGGATTATTTCAACTGTCGTATAAGTGCGGACTCCTTCTTTATGTGCAAAATGGATTTGTGCTTCTTTCAACTGTCGTATAAGTGTGACTTCCTAATTTGGGGGAAGTGATGTCTTTGTATTGATGTGTTGCTTAGTTATTTTCTTTGTTATTTTTTATTTTGGTATTTTGGTCACGTGTTCTTAGTTTGTTTACATAATTTGATATTGCTTTTGTTCAATTTATGCACAACTGAAAGTCAATTTGTGATAATTAAAATACTTGGCTCGCTTATTTTATGCAGTTCTAATTTTTGCATTTATTGTTTGTATTTAAATAAAAAGATACTGAATTAATTCTTCATTTGTAATGTGTGAATCTTCAAGTTTCCTTATATGGTTTCATATAATGCATTATATAGTTGCATTAGGAGATCATTGTCCTGAACCATCTTGCATCAAGGAGTTTATAAATAGATATTCTGAGCCATGTCACACGGACATCTTTCATTGAATAAAAATTTCCTTTTACATTTTTTAATCTTATATGTGGAAGTGGGACATGTAATTCGTATGAGTATGGCATTTAACTAATTTCAGGTGAAGTCATCTCTTTTAACTGGCATGAGTATGTAATTCATATTTCATATTTTGTTATTGATTTGTTAATGCTTTAAATTTTGTTCAAATTTAACATAATCTAGAATCTAATTGAGGTGATTATTACAATGGCTTGCTATTTTTGCATGACTATATATTTTTTTATTTATTCGGTTATATATTATTGTTTAAATTTGAATTCTTTTATTTATTGTTTAACATAAAGAAAATAAATTATTGGCTTTGTTATTGATTTATTTTTTGCAAATCCTATTCTCTTTTATTTGATTGCATTCATCACATCATTTAATTGGGTTAGGTAAATCTAACCTTAAACTGAGCTACATTTGTGAGCATCATTGATGCGGGAGCGTCTCCCTCTTATGAGCCGCCGGATGTGAGAGCGAGCCGCGGCTCTCGCAGTCATGTGAACATTGAACCAAATGATCCTTCTTTTTGTTGTCTTTCCAATATAGCAAGTTTCCTTCTTTCTGTTCATTCCCTTTTAGTCCATTCCTATATATGTGGTTGTATTAGGGTTTAGAGAGGAGTTTTTTTAGCGTGAATTTGTTTAGGACAACCGCAGGCATCTGCTTCTTCCTTCGAGGGCTGTATCCGAGGTTTTGAGTGGTGCTTTGGTTGTATCTCATTCCCGAGTGGAAATAATCCCTCCCCCAACCTTCTGCAACATTTCCAAGTCAATCCTCATTGTCCCTTCCCTGTTGCAGTCGCCGGAATAGCAGTTTTTGCTGTTTTTCCTGCAGTTCCACCAATTTCAGCCAACTGCCTTTGCTGCTGCTACCCTAGACAGCAGTCCTCTTACTATGTTGCAGGCTCTTACATTTCTCATCACTGCGGCCGGCAGTCCCCCTCGCTGCATCCACCCGTAAATAGTTTTTACTGCTGTTTTCTGCATTTCCAGCCGCCCAGCTATCCGTTCCTCTTCTTCCAGCCTACTTCTATTACCGCAACTTCTCCCCTTCGTTGCCATTGTCATTCTCCTTTGTTGCTGCCACACATCACTCACTTTTTGCTACCTATCCGTAGGACCAAACCCTCGCCAAACAATAACACCACCCCCAAGATCCACCCAGTTTGAGTTTGTTGTGTCACGTCTTTTGTTATTTCAGATTTTTGGTTCCGCGTTATATTTTCCTTTCAAGTGCGTTTGTTGTAACCGCCAATGTGCTTTCAGTAATAATATTTTTCCTTTCCATTGTGATTTGGGTTAATTTCAGTATCAGTCATTCTTTATTCATAATTGTGAATCATAATCATACCTCATTGCCTTTTGTTTGTGAAAATTGAAGTTTCAAAAATTGAAGGATATATGTTGTTTGGGAAGCTTAGCTCATTCCATGTTTGTGGATTTTTTAATCATGGAGCTTGCCTCCCATTTGTTAAAAAATATTGTTTTGAAAAAAATCATGGCATATGTATATTTGAAGTTTTTTCCATGTTTGTGATTCTTTTAAATTAATTTGCTCTCATTTAAGATTTCAATTTCACTCTTATTTATTGTTAATAAGCCAATTTTGCATGCTAATAAGTTGGTCATGACTTGATATATAGGATGGTTTAAGGTTAGGGTTTCATATGCATTAAGAATGATGCAACATTAAGAATGTTGCAATGTATTTAAAACTTGTGATAAAATTTGGGATTTACATATTGCAAATATTAAAAATTCAACAAACTTACTTTTTTATAGAAGTAACAAATAATTATGAGAATTAGAATCTAAACAATATTGAAATGATCGAGGAAATCCAAAAGTCCCATATCAAACCCAATTGTTGAAATTGAAAGAAATCAAAGCCGCTAGCAAGCAATATCAAAATATTGAGAATAAATTAGATAAAAAATTTTACTGAAGCAATAAAATCAAACCTCATTTCAGTACAAGATGAATTTCTTCTTAATTTGATAGTTGCACTATCATTATACTAGAATGAATAACATACCTAACTTGCACACATAATATTGAAAATTGAAAGAATTAATTTTTACGCAATTAAAAATCATCCTTTGCATGCCTCGTTCATCACATATTCATGTACATAAGTTTCACTTTAATTTTCAATTAGATAGTTAATCGTCTGAATGAGTCCCTTATATTTCCGTAGTTGTGCAATTAAAAAATTACAAATGACAAATCCTAGCACGCCAGACAATCAACACATATTTGAACAACACATCATTCGACACACCGTCATCCCATGTCACCACAGTACCTGAAGTGCCACAATTCAAGGTTTTCATAGCTGCAGATCCCCCGCTTGAGTACACCAGCAAGGTCGCAATTGAATTTTGGTTTTGTTTGGTGCACCTGCTGCTTTCCAGCTTTCCAGATTTTCAGCTGCAGCTTAGCTGCCCCAAGAAGCTGCTGTAGGGAAGCTGACTGACTGTTTGTTTCAGCTGTGTAAAAATAATTGTGTGGAAGCTATTTCTGGACAAATGACCATTTTGCTCATGTTTAGTAATGTTGTTTGTAACATAACTGTAACAGCCATATATTTAATACTTCAAAAGCTAAAATTAACTTCAAAACAATACAAAAATTGAGATACACGTCTCACTTAATAGTGAGTACCAAATACGCTATACAAATAAGAAAAAATAATATGCATACCATATACATACCACTGAACTCCATTTCCACATTTCAGTCTCCTTAGATTCCAATGGCAATCAAAGCACTGGTTACCTGAGAATGACTAGGTCATCCAAAGATGCCTCAACATCACCTTGGAAGCATTTCAGTGGACTCAAATCAATAGAAATGTACAAAGATATATCATCTTGAAAATGGTGTATCAAAAGCACATGTTCTAAAGTAGAAGCATGTATAGAGTCAGCAAATATAAATAACCAAGCCTTTGTAATAGTGAATCTACTTCGACGTCTTTTCCTTGCTTCTAGCACCAATCTACAAATATATGCTTCACGAGCAGAAGTTGTCTGTTTTCTTTGTTCTCACAACCATGTTTAGGCAATAAGAGATTATAGCAAATTGACTGTTTTCCTTGTTCTAACAGCCATGTCTAAATTGGTTGGATATAAGTGATTACAGCAATGCAATTCAACCAAAATGATGAAAGCAATGATATTCCAACCAAAATGATGAAAGCAAAACAATGCAATCCCATAATAGCTAGATCAGTCCTGGGAATTGTAATGGACCGAAAAGAATTCTTGAGAGGCCCTTAAAAGAGAGCAGCTAAGGTCGAAGAAAGCCCTTTCAATTGAGCCACATAAAACCAAGTACACAGATTCAAAGTAATGAATTGAAGTAATAATCCATCGCTCGACCGCGGGCCGTGGGGTTCGATCCGCGGCCCGCGTTCCACCAAAACGGCGTCCCGCCACCCTCGGGGGCTGATTGCT